CCTTGGCTGCCGAGCACAGATTATGTCACGCTAGAAACGCGCGAAACGCGCACTTGTTGAAGCGGCGCCCTGGAGACAGCTTCTCTGGCGAAACACTCCGACCCCCGGGGAGCCTTGCGCAGAGCCACCCTTAGCCCGCACGCTGGTCCCGCAAGCCCGGGCTGACGCACGGTGTAGTGGCCGAGCAACACAAGCGTATTCGGGCTGAAGCCCCTGATCAGTCAGGCGGAAAATTGCGTTGCCACGATAAAATCTCTGTCACCACACAGCTGGAGCTGAATACCCGTTAAATCTCACCTTTAAGTCATTAGCGACGAAACCTTGTTTCACCAGAGATGGAGTAGAACTTGCATTAACTTACTCAAAGCCACATTTCCTTCTCAAAGGTGGTGCAATTAAAATTTCCACGAGTGCCCGCGTTGGGTGGCCCCGCTGTTGGTGCGCAGTGCCAGGCGAGAGCCCGTGGCGGGCAGGGCACGCCTCCGCCCTGCGAGGGCAGCCCTCACAGCCAGCAGGCTCATTTGTAGCTTTTGTAGTGCTTTTTAGCAGGATGTCACCAGAAGACACAGCTGTTAATAAGCAGAATAATAGCAGGGTGGGTCACTGCAAATCAGCTTCATGTTGGTGTAACCCCCATATTGCACATCAGCTAGATGTCAGTGAGGATATAAGTGAGCAATAGCAAGGAAACAAAACAAAGAAAGTGATACTAAAAGCCTATCAGATAAAGCCTGCTGTTGATTTACTGGAAATAAGAGGAGTGACATATTCTCTGAAAGAGGTAAAACCATTTTATTTGTTAGCTCCAGTAGATTTGCATAAATGAGAACAAAATCACTGTTTACTTTTCCCTGTATAACTGCCTAACTGGTCTCTCTCATTGCTTTGTGTATGTCAGGTCCCTCTTGCAGTCAACAAGTCTTCCACTTCTCCAGAGCTCACAAGTGTATCTGAGGTATTTATCTACCGTAGCATGAGGTGACATTTAGGAAGGTAATGAAGTCAAACAAGGTCAAGTGTAGAGTTCTGCACTTGAGGAGGAATAACACCATGCACCAGTACAGGTTAGGGGCTGACCTGCTGCAAAGCAGCTCCACAGAGAAGGACCTGGGAGTCTCGGTGGAAAAGAAGTTAACCACGAGACAGCAGTGTGCCCTTCTGGCCAAGAAGACCAGTGGTCTCCTGGGGTGCATTAAGAAGAGTGTGACCAACAGGTCAAGGGAGGTTCTCCTCCCCCCCCCACTCTGCCCTGATGAGGCCACATCTGGAGTACTGTGCCCAGTTCTGGGCTCCCCAGTTCAAGAGAGGCAAGGAGGGAGTCCAATGGAGGGCTACAAAGATGCTTAAGAGACTGGTGCATCTCTCTTACAAGGGAATGCTGAGAGACCTGGATCTGTTTAGCCTGGAGAAGGCTGAGAGGTGATCTCATAGATGTTTACAAATATCTGAAGGGTGAGTGTCAAGAGGATGGGGCCAGACTCTTTTCTGTGGTGTCCAGCAATAGGACAAGGGCCAACAGGCACAAACTGGACACTGAAATTCTGTCTGAACATCCAGAACAACTTCTTCACTGTGAGGGTCACGGAACACTGGAACAGGCTGCCCAGAGAGGGTTTAGAATCTCCTTCTCTGGAGAGATTCAAAACCTACATTGATGCAATACTGTGCAGCCTGCTCTGGGTGAACCTGCTTTGGCAGTGGGGTTGGATTAGTTCCCTTCCAACCCCTACCATTCTGTGATTCTGTGACTGTGGTTACATCTTGAAATAAGTATGTGTAGCATATAGAATCTAATGTTTGAATGACTGCTTAATCTGCAGTGTCACAGCTACAGAAACCACCCGAGCACCAGCTAACATCTACTAGTGATCGAATTGTATTTTCCTACATTTTCCCTTGCTTATTTTGCATCCCTAAAGAACAGGTTTTTCCATTTATGGAAAGCTGAGAAGAAGAGGAATCTATATTGCACTCAAAAGAGTTGTGATCAATGGCTCAAAGTCCAGGTGGAGACCAGTGACAAGTGGAGCTCCTCAGGGGTCTGTTCTGGGTCCAGTGCTGTTTAACATCTTTGTCAGTGACATGGCACTGAGTGCACCCTCAGCAAGTCTGCCAATGACACTGAGCTGTGTGATGTGGTGGACTCACTTGAGGGAAGGGAGGCTGTCCAGAGGAATCCTGACAGGCTTGAGAAATGGGCCAATGTAAACTGCAAGAGGTTCAACAAGGCAAAGTGCAAGGTCCTGCACCCAGATTGGGCCAATCCCAGGTACAACTACAAACGGGGTACAGAGCTGTGGAGAGTAGCCCTGAAGAGAAGGACTTGGGGGTGTTGATTAATCAGAAGCTCAACATGAGCCAGCAGTGCTCTCATGCGGCCCCAAAGGCCAGCTGCATCCTGGGGTGTATCAAGAGGGGTGTGGCCAGCAGATCAAGAGAGTTGATTCTTCCCTTTTACTGTGTTCTTGTGAGACCCCACCTCCAATACTGTGTCCAGTTCTGGTGTCCCCACCATAAAAGGAACACAGATCTGTTGGAACAAGTCCAGAGGAGGGCCACAAAGATGATCCAGGGGCTGGAGCATCTCTTCTACAAGGATAGGCTCAGGGCAGGAGGATTGTTCAGCCTCAAGAAGAAAAGACCCTGGGGGGGGACCTTATAACTGCCTTCCCATACTTGAAAGGAACCTGCCGGAAGGCTGGAGAGGAACTTTTCACAAGAGTGTCCAGCGACAGGATGAGAGGAAATGGTTTTAAACTGAAGGAGAGTAAGGTTAGACTGGATCTTAGGAAGAAGTTCTTCAGTACGAGGGTGGTGAGACTCTGGAATAGATTGCCCAGAGATGCTGTGGATGCCCCCTCCCTGGAGGTGTTCAAAGCCAGGTTGGATGAGGCTTTAAGCAATCTAGTCTAGTTGAGAGGCGTCCCTGCCCATGGCAGGGAGGTTGGATTAGATGATCTCTAACCGAAGCCATTCTATGATTCTATGTTTATTTATCGAGTAGCCTGAGCATTACATACAGCATTATCTTGAGAAGAAGCACCTTCAGTTAATATGGAGATGTAGTAAAAAAATACACGTTTGAAACTGTGTTTACTTGTTTCTGTTTATTGCTTTTTGACTAGAAACATTAAGTGAATGATACATACACTAATATTAACACTAGTCAAGGCTCAGTGCTTCCATGACAGGAAAAACAAACAAACCCAATCTAAACCCAGCCAAGACAGACCCCAATCCTTACCTCACAACTCAGCTGGACAATAGTTAATAATTAGGTATAATTGTGAAGGATACAATCACTTGACATGTTAAGTGGTTTATCTATCTGATTAGAATGAAACATTTTGCAGTCTACTCAGAAAACTTTAAAACGTGCCACAAGAAATCGAGTCCATTTATCATGCTGTAATGGGAGCTTTGTGCTGTGGAAGGCCTGGGCTGTGCCTGCGGCACTGTTGAACCCACAGCCACAGGCGATACGCAGGGCCGCGCCTGCACAATAGAGAAAGCAAAACTCCTTCTCTAAGTGCATGTCATAACACAAGACAACATTTTTCAAACAGGACTGGCTGATGTCCATCACTAAAATAAAACTACTTTCAGTACTACCATTTTTGAGGTAGGAGAGGGTTACAATTAGTAGATCCACATTTAAATGTGGACATTCTGTCTTCAGGCCTGTGCAGCTGTTAAGCGTACACTTCCCTCTGGCAAAACCACTATCCTCTTGCAAAAAATATTTGCTTTTCATCCTGAATGCATTACCAACAACAGCAGAGCAGTAAAACACAGAATATGTGTAGTCCTTGCTCTAAAGCAAATATGGAATCCAGAAGAATAAATTGTCTGTGAAAAGACATGACTAATTAGTACAAATAACACATTGGTCCCTCTGCCTTACCTAGGGGATGCTGAATTTGTTCCTCTGTTTGTTTTTTTTTTCCATGTCGGTAGTATGAAAATAAACATCACATTTCCATTTGCCAAGTCCAATTCTTTAAATGCTCAACGAACAAAAGCGGAAAGTGAAATAAGCAATTCTCTTAATTTCATCAATAAGCAGTAAAGAATAAAAAAAGGAAAGTAAGAACTTTGATGTTCCTTTTCAGGAACAAATCGATCTTCAGGGACTGATTTTGAACTCAAACATGGCTCCTATAAAAGATTTTTAGAAAAAATGTATACTGGAGCCAGTCATTATCAATATAAGGCAACAGTCTGGCAACTAAATTTCCTAGTTATACATCCAAATAGTTTGCTACTGTTTCTGACCCAAGAAAGCAAAGTACAATGTTGTTCTAGGAAACCTAAGTTACACAAGTGCAGTGCACTTCATAGAACAATTTTTGAAAAACATTTTTATTTCTTAAGTTAACTGGAAAAAAAACCCAAGCCAACAGAAAGAATTTCTTCAAGGTTAAAAGGCCTTTGAATGAAAGTTCTTAGACACTGTGTTAAGTAAAATGAATCTGGGATTCACTGAAACTGTGTGGGTGTCACAGCTAATGACTTGATAGGGAGGAATAAGAACTAAAGGACACTTAACACATTTATCCATGGTTGATACTTAACAAGATCACGAAAGAAAGAAATCTAATACAGTTCCTTCAGTAGCTATTAAAAACACAACGAAGATTAACTATGTCTTAGTGACACTGGACTTTTTGTCCATTTCGATGGAATCTGGAGCAACAAAACTGACACCAACTCCAAGGCTTGAGCGTCTCAAAGATAATTCAGAGGGAGGAATATGACGCAGGTCTCGGCGAGACAGTTTTACTGGAGTTACTCCTGGAAACTGTGTTACGGCCTCTCTCCTGTGGATGACAGACGATAGCTGAGATTTTGAAGGCTGAACTTCAGCTGTTCCTGTTTTGTCATCACCAGGACTTGACAAACATTCCTTGTTGCACCCAAACTCTGAAACATCTTCTCCAAGCTTGTATGAATTCTGCTGTGCTCTTAAAACACTCGTTCTATCTGTTTCTTTTATTTTCCCTGGTCGAATACTGGTTTCAGGGTTAGGGGTCGGCTTGAATTCTTCAGAAACAACTTCTGCTTCATCTTGACTGGACGTCTTATCACCAGCACTGTTATCTGAAATTAAAGTTATCAGGAGATAAATAGCTAAAAGTTACAACTCTTAAGTGCCTGCGATGGAGGAATATTAGTTAGTCACTATGGTTTTACAGCATCAGCAACTTGCAGTGTAAACATGGTAAAAAATTATCAGCCCCTCATATTTTGTCCTTACTGTTAAAAAGTTTGCTATCTACAAAACATCAGAAGTATTACCTGTTCTTTCCTCTGACAAGATGCTAGTAGTAAAAGGCTCACCTTTCTAACTTGTATCCTGGTAGGAAGTCTTAGAACAACTGAACCATGACAGTCAAGCATGAAACTATCCACATATAGAAAAACAGTCAGCAATTACACTAGCACAACATACAAAACACATTCTGCAAATTTGTCTGTAATGTACACACAGAGCTTTTATTATTTTTAAAGCTCAGCATCACGTTTCAAAATGTTTTTATTACATTGCAGTGCAGCATGCCTCAAAATGTATTCAAAAGAGAAATAACTACATACAGAGTATATCCTACAAAATGTACAAACATATGTATTTGAAAAAGCTGGAAATTCACTGGGATCTTCTGCCTTCTCCTCTTTGCCACAGTTTGGCTAGGAGGGGTGTTCCCCCACACGGATGCATGTCCTGAACTACAGCTTCTTTGTGTACTGGACAGAGAATAGCCTTCCCATGCTCATTTATATCCAGGCTCCAGAACCTTCATGATCACAGTCTGATAGTGTAGTTTAGAATAACGAATCTGTTGGTTCATTATCCTGCCTGGAGGTATGTGACCAGCATCTATCTGTTAGGAAGGCATGGCACTGCCCAAGTTGAAAGAAGCAGAAGGATCCTTTGGGAGGAAGAATGAGTCATGCTGAGACTTAGGAAGCAACACAGAGCCAATAAGGCCGTGTTGTGCACCTGAGGTATCGGTGGTGGCATCGAGAGGTGTGAGACAACTGAAACAGGGACAGAAATTGATCCTTCTTTTCTCCTTCATCTGAAGGAGATGAACATCTTCATCTATCTTCATACTGTAGGTTTAGATTCTGGCAAGTAGGACGTGGAACAATTAAAAACCTGCAGCAGCAATTGTTTGTTGGTTTGGTTGTTTTGGGGGGGGTTGGTTGGTTGGTTGTCTTTGAGTCAAAGCACAGGATCACATTAGAAAGCTTCCTCCCCCCCGGTATACACAACCTCTCTTTTAACCTTAGAAAATAAGTAGCTAAAGTAAGTTAGTATCTGAAAACATGGAATTCTTCACTGAAAATCTCCCTGTAAGTTACTTTCATGAAATTGAGTGCTGGGAGCAGCCTACCTAAAAGCCTGGCATATGACAAAACTGTTGGTTACAGCATCATTCAGACCCTTTCAGATAGTAAAACTCCTTTTGCTAAACCACAACAGTTTGAGGTTGTAGATGCTGAAATTAAGTTAGAATCCAGAGGAAACAAGAACAAGAATTTAAACCACTGGTATACTATTACTACAGCTACAAACCAATCTTTTCTCTCCTTTGAAACTGGAGGTGTATTATATGCCTGGAGAACAGTCAGTTCAGTAAAAATACGATTTTTATGTCTATCTGGTATACTTCTGTATTCACCACCCTTCAAACTGTCTATTGACATCTGCATAAATAATTTAAAATACTTACGTTTAGTGGATGCCAGCAGTTGATGTGATGATTCTCCACAGAGGCCCTTCAATTTCTTCTTCAGTTCTCTGCTTGTTTTCTTATAGAAAAATAAGTCTTTTTCCAGTTGCTGGACTTTTACTTCATACCCTTTCAAGGTTTCTGCAATACCTTCACTATCTTGTTCTAGGACAGGAAAAATTAGTTTAAGAACCAAATATCTGTGTGCCAAAGATCCCAATGGATGACTAGACAGAAGATGTCTTTTATCTTGCTGACACTTTGTTTGCAGCACATTTTAACTAGTGTGGCACAAGACCAAAAAGGCCATGCCAATCCCTCTTGTAAGTTTTAATAGAAGCACTTAGAAGATCAAGATCAGCAGGACTGTTATCTTTCAATTTTTCAATATCAGCAAATTCAATATGAAATTACAACAATTCTGGTACTGCTTTAAAAAAACAATACTCAATTTTCCATTCATACAGACACTCCGTTTCTGTTCCTTAGCAGAGGAACAGACATCCTACTCAACATTAAAATTAGTGACAGCCAAAATATGTTTCTGAACCTTCTTGAGTTTGTTTTCAGTAGGAATATAGCATTTGCAGTAGTGACTGAAGATAATATTTGCTGTACAATGTCCCCAAGAATCAAATACCTTTGAAATGAAGCAGTATTAACTGTATTTTTTTCTCATGTTCTTTGTGTTGAAGGGTCATCTGTCTGTCACACTGCAACTTGACATGTTCAAGTGCAGATTCTAATTCACGTATTATGTTTTCCTGGTCTATGACCTTCATTTCCTGTTCTTCAATCTGGAGTTGTAATTTACGTTCAGATTCACGAAGGCTAACAATCTAATAAAGAAATACACTTTTATTGATTATCAAACCACTTTAACAAAAGCTTTTGCCCTCCTGCTTAATAGATTATAGCATACAAAAGCAATGGCCTCTACAAGTCTTAAGTTTATACTGGAAACACACTTACCTAAGCCTACAAGTTCACAATTCAGAAATGAACTTGGCATGTTTTGATCACACGGACTAAACGATTTCTTCAATACCCTCTACAGAATTTAAACTGAAACAATATTGGTTTTCTGATTCTGGAGAACTTCTAGCTTGCATCCCACAGACAACTTGTTCACAAAATCACACAAAGTTTGCCCAAGGTCACAAAAACACACCATGTCCTCAAGCTTTTCATTTTTATGTTTCTAGATGTCAGTATGATTCTTCAGTAAGTGGCACTGCAGGCACTGTATGCAAAAATAATTTATACTGGATTTGGAAAAAAAAAAAGGAATACTAGCCTAAGCTATATGAAGTCTACAGTTAGAAAGAATTTCAGTGTGGCACCACTATTTAAATATGTTGCCGCTCCAAAAGTTAGCAACAGAGAGCAATGGAAAGGAACAAGGGAATTTTCTTGTTTGCAGCACCTTTTAAACTAAAGATACCAAACTCAAGATATACAAAGTTAACAGACAAGTATCCTATTTAGGTTAATGTAAAAATTAAAAATATCTGAATTTATATCAGATCTTTGAAGCCTGAAGAGATTTTCACAAAAACATTGTTAAATTTATTTTTATTTTGTAACACCGTTTTATTTAATGATCTAGCAATGATTTAATTATCTAGTAACAGAAAATAGGGTAAAATATTATTCATTAGGCAAAACAAACCTTGTTGAAATATTTGAAGAGGATAGCTCTGAGCTCAGCAGCAGACAGGGAAACTAGTTTTCCTACTACATTATTCTCGCTCTGTGAAAGAATCTGTGAAGACGACCTCAGCAAGTGCTTGCGATTCTGGATACTTTCATTCTTGTAATCAATGGCAGCCTCCAGGGCTTCAATCCCCTCTTCCAGCTGGAAAAGGCCATGTTCTTCCTACAGAGAAGTGCAAGTGAGATTTTTTTGTTTAAAGGTGTAGAATTAATCTTTCTATACATCAGACATCTTTAACTTCATTAGCAAGAGTGAAACTAAACTTAAAGGCAAGACAAACTAGTAGCAGTACAGAGAATGGAATGGGAAAAATAAAAGGTAGAGTACAAATCTAAAACACTTTTTTCTGCCATAATACTCCTTCCATGACACAGAGGTAAATCAAAAGTTTCCTCCCCATAGTTTGACTTCTGCTATTATTTTTTTGTTTGTGCTAGTTTTCTGTTGGATTAATGAATGAATCAGGTCATTAAGGCATTTGGTGACCATAATGTGTGTAGGCAAACAGCAGAAATGCATGGCCTGAAGCACTGCAGATTTTGAGGAGTGAGGCAGGCAGGGTTCTTTCTGACACATTATCACCTCAGCCATATGCCCATACTGCTTCTCAGGAACTAGAAGTAAACTGGGCACTTTAGATGACTTTTTAATATTATCAACATAATTATCCTTGTCAACTCAAGTGCAGACCATCCAAGTAATATAAATTATTTCTACTGTAAAAATATGGAAGCCTTCAGATGAAGTTTGCTTTTTCACAAAATCCTGTGAAAAAAATAGAGAACATTGCCTCATTCTATGTCCTGACATTAAAATATCTGCCTATGACAAACTGGTGAGCTTCTAGTTGCTTTATTCCTCATTATATGATCCTCAGGCCAGTGCTGAGTTATGTCCCTCTGAACTGGTAAGTGAGTAGTGCTTTTCCAACAGTATCATACTGTCGCTATTTACCAAAGTACCCAACCTCAACTCCTTGGTTCTAGCTTATCTAATATTTAGAGACATTTTAGGTTCTGATTGGAACACTTCATTATACAGCACTACCTAAACCAAATATTTATCTCAGAGGTGCTTACTTACTTCAGTTGACAACACTTTACCATCTTTCAGTTTCTCATCCACACTGTTTCTTCTTCTGAGTAGCTGATCTCTTTCCATCTGGAGAACCTGTATTTTTTTCAAAATGTCTATCTTATCTTCAGTGGTGCTGCCCTGAAGCTGCTTATCTTTATCACATAGCTCCTGATCCAGCATACTTAAGCGAGTAGTCAATTTCATACTATCTTTGTTTAAAGCCTAAAAAAACCACACCAATCATAGACAGCAAACTGAGATTTCCAGTAAGACAAATGTAGGTGAGATCATCACATTCTGTATTTAAAGACTTGCCTGCTTCTTGCAGTGAGACCCCACTTACTCTGAGTAGATAGCTACCATAAAATTTACTACTCAAAAGATTTAAGTAAACAAAAATGCTGAATATGCAGCTTTCTACACCCTAAAAACTAAAGGGACTAGTCATTATAAGTGACAATGACACTTGAATTCCTATTCACTTTTGGTACTGAAAAATACATAATGCAGAATGTTTCCCTGTCATGTTCTCTAGTTTGCATAAGGACTGATTCAGTCGTTTCTAGATATCTTATTATTCAATGTTTTACAACAACAGAACTCCACAGTTCAGATTTTTTCTTGTCTTGCTTTTGGAATTTTGAGAAGTGAATAAAAATTATTGTTTTTTGTCATTCACATTTTGAATGTTGATATGCTTAAGCTACACAATAAGTTCATGGCAGTGGTAGAGACAGAGGTCACATGGCTTCAGCCTCCCCTATCTGCCTTCTCCTCACCCAGTCCTTCAGTCAGCACTAGAAGTGTGGTGACATTCATGCTTTTTCTTAAATCACCTGGCTAGATCTCAGTTTCTTGACTTCCAGGTGGCTCTTCTCTTGCAATAATGCTTCTTTTTTGGCTACAATGGCTTCTCTTTTCTTTAAATCTTCTTCTAGTTCTGCTAACTGTTGGTGCTGTTGGAGAATTCTTTCCATTTCTTCATCCAGCCATTTCTTTTGCTCTTCTAATTTCTAAAATTTAAGTAGAGATTCAGATAGCATTAACAAGGACTTTGTGAAAGCCAGATTTTTATGATTATGTTTTCCCTTTTTAAGAATAAATTACAAAACAATAGAAGAAATTGGCATTTGTAATGTTAACACTAATTCTGTGACAGAATCTTTACTCAGAATAATGCAAAAATTGAACTGACTTAAAAAGACGATCAAAAATGCTATATAGTTACATCTTGTATAAGCAAATTTGTATCAGATGCCTTTGATGAAATCTGTTCTTTTTCTAAGAACAGCTACCTAACTAGATGTCTTCTATATAATCACAGCAACTACGTTTGCAATGTGCCACAAGAATTCAGCTAGCCCATTCTCATTGTATTATAGTTGTCCAAGACCAGCTGTTTGTGGAAAAATGTTAACTGACAAAAACTTATGATGCTGAAAGAAGAAAAGTAAATAAAAGCTCTGATCCTGCTGGCACAGTCCATTAAAAATTTATTCTGAAGCCATAGTTTATCCGTGGATATATTCCTGGTAAGACTAAAATGTTGCCCTTAATTAACTTCTAAAATGTCTTTTCACCCTTGAAGACCTTGAGTACCTCATGGAACTCCTATGTTCCAATGTCCACATTTAAAATAATGTAGGTGGTACACTGTCATAGGACACCTACTTTTCTAACTCTCTTAGAAACAACCAAAACCATCGAATTCTGTCATTTATGTCACTGAAGAAACAAACAAAACAAGCAAACCAACCAACCCACCCACAAAAACCCCATGGAATGTTTATGAAAGAGCTCATCATTTCACCCTCAAGGCTATGAGACAACAAAACGCCTTGAATTCTTAGGTCTCTGAACCCGAATCTTTGACAAATCATGGAAAGAATGGACATTAGGGCCTCTCCTTTCCTTCATTCAAGAAGAATTTAAGAGCAGCTAGACTATACTCCGAATTTTTGCTACAGCAAAAAAGAAGACAAAACTATGATGAAATACTCTCCTTCCAAACATTTTACAAGATGACTAGGGATGAAAAAAAATTTTTTTTTAGGGCCCACAGTGCTTTAGAACAGATTAGCTACCTGTACCTTCTGTGAAGTTTCCACTGAGTTATTTTTCTTCTTTTTAAATGCATCAATCTCTTTATCCTTAAGTTTAAGAATCTTCTGCTGTTGTTCCATCTTTAACTGAAGTTCCTATAAACAAACAAAAAGACCCACTCTTTCTGCCTTAGTCATACAGTTTTTAAAATGCATTTAATGCCAAGTCCACACAGGTACATGATCTTAAATACTGACACTAAATGTGCATGTAAATTTGCAATTCAGAGCTATACATCAAGTAACAAAATAACTTTAAAAAGTTGAAAGGAAAGGGGCAAACTGAAGATGTCTGTGAAAATGTTCAGAGACAATTTCTTCAGTGCATTTGTCAAGAAGGTCTTTACTTATACTGTGGAAAGCCTGGCAGTATAGTTTATGGTCTTTGGGGGAGCAGTGGCAAAACGGGCTCATCTCGTTCTTTGCCATAAAGGAACAGGAAGAATCCTACTTTAATTTGTTGCTGGTCCCGCTGAATCTCTGCTTCTAGTTGCTTCTTTTTCTCACTCTCCTCACACAGTCTCTTCTGTAGCTGGGTCTGCTGATGCTTCATCTGAGCCACATTGTGCTCAAGTTCTGTTGCTTGTCTCTCACTTTGGTTAGATAATGAAGCCAGATTCTTAGTGTCTTGCTGCTTCTTCTGTAAGGCCTGAATATTCATGGCAAAATTCAGCTTAATAGCAGGAAAAGTTAAAACTAAAATATGACCTAACTCTATTATTTCATTGAATTCTTAGTCAGCAAGATTTACTAATTTCTGTCAAAAAAAAAACCAAACTTGTTAGTTCTGTGGTTTCTGAGTTATCTGGTAAAGTTGGCACAGGCAGAATTAATCCAACCAACATGAAAAGGTAGATACAGTTCATGCCTGGCAATACAATAAAGGCAGTAAAACATAACAGAAATCACCGCTCTGGAAAATGTGCAGGGAGATAATGGTGCCAGAATGCTGACCTTGAGCTCAATTCAATAAGCCAGCTACTTCTTTCTGTATGGGGCTTGTCTGACCCACCATTCCAGGACCAAGAGGCACAGAGCGCCTAAGCTGGTCCTACATAGAATTTAAATTTAGGTATAGCTGAACCATAGAATCACTATGGTTGGAAAGGACCTCCAGGATCATCAAGTCCAACTTTTCTCCTAACATTTCTCTAACCACTAGACCATAGCCTCAAGTGCTACATCTCCTTGTTTTTTGAACACCTCCAGAGATGATGACTCCACCACCTCCCTGGGCAGCCCATTCCAGTGCCTAACCTCTCCCTCAGTGAAGAAATTCTTCTTAAAATCCAATGAAAACCTTCCCTGGTGCAACTTGAGGCTATTTTCGCTTGTCCTATTATTAGCAATTTGAGAGAAGAGACCAACACC